ATTATATTCAAAACGATAATGACGTGTACAACAAAGAAGAAATCTCGAGATTATATTAGTAAAGTTAGAAAATAATTGATCGATTAGTATAGCAGTTAGGATACATTTATCATAGACACGTAACTTAAACATTTATTAGAACATTGCGATACATTTATGATAATATCGATGAATCGGGAAAATCTTTGGATATATGCGCGTTTAACTGGGATACTTAAAACGATAATGACGTGTACAGAAAGGAGGCAGTCTCGAGACTATATTAATAAAATTAGAAAATAATTGGACGATGAGTATATTAGTTATGATGCGTTTCTTGTAAGTATGTATATTTATTATAAAATTGGTGAGTCAGATAAGAATATTTGGTAACGACGTATGATAATAGCAGAGAGCACCGTTAATTAGAAACGACGTAGATAGAGCCAGCGGCGGAACACACTAGCGCCACCACGGCCCGTAACTCGGACAAGTGCACCGTAAATCTCGCGTACACCGCCGAATCGTTTCCCAATTTCGCCGATGACGCGTTTCCACGAAATCACCGGCCCTGTTCTGCGCCTCGATAACGATTCGCTGGCGCGAAAAACGCGATTTTTGCGTAATTTTCTGCACCATTTGCAGCGCGCACGCGGGGACCACGTTCGCGCGTTCGCGATGACGTCAAACGCGAGAAACGCGGCGGAAACTAGATTTACGTGATCCGGACGCGCGCAAATCTCTTTTCATCGTCGACACCGGTTATAATTAAGCGCAGACGGCTTGGGAAATCTACTGGAAGGCCATTGATTAAATCGATAAAAGGTGGCCTGCAAGTAAGCCACGATGTAAATCATTGCAACACGTATATAGGCGAGATCGGTCTTGTTCCTGGACGCGTGGCTGTTTCCATCGTATCGGTTTCATCCTCGAGGCTTTCGAGCAGGGATCAGGCTATGAGACCGAGATTCTCTTTGGATTCGGGAAATTATTTATTTTCATCTCGAATCGATTGACAGGTCGCGATAACGCGAACGTTTTACTGTGTTTCATGTATTTGCTATGCTGTTGAATTTGATTATTCGATAAAGTGGAGTCACGATGAATCATTATGTCGATAGATGGTTTTACAGGATGTTGCTGAACTGATGAGACAAATTGAAGAGGTGTGAATCTATTTTGAGTTTTGAGTAGGGACACGTATGTGGTTCTGTGATCGAGATACTTTTTGGGTTTGGAAAATTATTTATTTTCATCTCGAATCGATTGACAGGTCGCGATAACGCGAACGTTTTATTGTGTTTCATGTATTTGCTATGCTGTTGAATTTGATTATTCGATAAAGTAGAGGCATGCTGAATCATTATGTCGATAGATGATTGTACTGGGTGTTGCTGAACTGATAAGACAAATTGAAGAGGTGTGAATCTATTTTGAGTTTTGAGTAGAGACATTTAATTGGTTCTGAGATCGAGATACTTTTTCGGTTTGGAAAATTGTTTATTGTAATCTGTTGATAGATAATCACGTCTGGAAGATGTGCTTTTCATGTGCTATTGTAGACTTTGGCGTCTCTGAGCTGTCAAGAACTGTCTTTGACAGGCACCGTGCAGTATATTATTAAATAGTATTTTTCGAGAGCATCAAATTCTATTTTATTTGTATATATATTATATATTATATATATCTTATTGTATAAGGGGTTGATTTGTTAGTGTGTAATTCCCTGCTTGACACATTTGCCATGACGATGACGAATTTAGTGTAGTTAGGCCAAATTTCTTATCTTGATTTCGAATCGACTGAAGAATGTTTAAATTTAATTATTTAATATAACAGGATTCAAATATTTTCGTTCCATTTTCGTTTATCGAGTGAGTATCCCGATATATGATTGTGTATGATGTTATCGAACTGACACACATTGACAGAGTAAGTTGACAGGTGACATTTTGTAGTATAACATTTTTCGGACAAATCACTTTCTATTTGTCAGAGAATATTTTAAAAATTCCTATCTTACTCGAAGAATTATTGAAAATGACTTTTCTATGCTATGATACACCTTTCTGATTATATAATTCTGTCACATGCTGTAACAATCCTGTCACTAACATTACCTATATTGTTAATACTGTCAATACCAATACCAATATTCTTCTTAGACAAGCAGAAATATCTATGTCAAAAATGGAAGAATTTTAATACTAATTTAATTCCAAAATTTGGCTACCTATTTTCGCGAAATTTTGCATAAAAGTCACGGGTACCTACTCTGCCAAAAATGTTCCACGTTCTGACGACCATAAAGAGATTAGCAGCCAGTAATCCCGATTAAATTTGATAGCTGCATCGTTTTCACAAACATGAAAGATCTGGAAAATCATAGCAATCGCGTTAACACAGTTCTTGCACGTATTGGAATCCGATATTGGCCAATTGCTACGACTATGGTGATGTGAGAACGTGCAATTATTACCGATCGCACGGGGAAGTACGAAAAGGTGTTCGTAGTCAGTGTTCCCGAAGGAATATCGAGTGTTAGAACATCGATGATAGATGCCTTCCGGAAGGATTTGCCGGCGTTTCGTGCTGAAAATGTGGCAAAAAGGGAGCTTTGGCAAGGATCTCTGCGTGTCTCGATGGAGCATCCTCGGTATTAACGTTTGCGTGGGAGTAACGGAAGCGTTGCTCGAGCGTTGCTCGATAGAAAAGAAGGAGTACTCTGCTGAAACGTAAACTATGGCATAGTGCGTTCGGAATAGCGTGTGCGGTATGCAACAAAGTGTATCATAAGCATAGTTTATGATTTTCAGTCTTCCTCGAGTAATCTCGCAGCGGTGTGCATGTGATTATAATATTGGGTCGATTTATAAATACTATCGCGTTAATTAAAATTGTAAAACTGCCTTTCAGATGAGCGGAAGAAAGTTACAAACTAGGATTACTAAATTTTCTCATTTTTAATTAGAAATATTGGAAAATGATATGAGAATAGGTACAGATTTTCTTAAATTTAATCGATCTCTGCTGTCACTCTATCGTGTTCATTTCCTACATATGCAAATGAGATTTCTAGAAGATGCGACTTTTGAAATAAGAGGAAGAAAGTTACGAATCAGAGTCAATAAATTTCCTCATTTTTATTTAGAAATATTGGGAAAAAATATGAGAAGAAATTCTGATTTTCCTAAATTTAATCGATCTCTGCTGTCATTCTGTCACGTTCATTTTCCACGTACGCAGATCATATTTCTAGAAGAAAATGCTACCTTTGAGATGAGAGGAAGAAAATTATAAACCAGAGTCAATAAATTTTCTCATTTTTATTTAGAAATATTGGAAAAAATATAAAAAGAAATTCTGACTTTTTTAAATTTAATCGATCTCTGCTGTCATTCTGTCACGTTCATTTTTCACATATGCAGATCCAATTTTCAGAAGAAAACGCGATTTTTAAGATGAAAGAAAGAAAGTTACAAACCAGAGTCAATAAATTTTCTCATTTTTATTTAGAAATATTGGAAAATGATATGAAAAATAATATAAATTTTTCTAAATTTAATCGATCTCTGCTGTCATTCTGTCACGTTCATTTTCCTTATATGTAGATCCAATTTTTAGAAGAAAACGCGACCTTTGAGATGAGAGGAAAGAAGTTATAAACCAAAGTCAACAAATTTTCTCATTTTTATTTAGAAATATTGGAAAATGATATGAAAATAGTTTTAAATTTTTCTAAATGTAATCGATCTCTGCTGTCATTCTGTCACGTTCATTTTCCTTATATGTAGATCCAATTTTTAGAAGAAAACGCGACCTTTGAGATGAGAGGAAAGAAGTTATAAACCAAAGTCAACAAATTTTCTCATTTTTATTTAGAAATATTGGAAAATGATATGAAAATAGATTTAAATTTTTCTAAATGTAATCGATCTCTGCTGTCATTCTGTCACGTTCATTTTCCACATATGCAGATCAGATTTCCACAAGAAGACGCGAGGTACGATTAATCTTCTTCTGCAACGTCTACCTTAATTATGAAAATTCCTTCGTAATTATGAAAATGCCTTAATTACGAAAAGCCGTTCCAGGCCAAAACGAACAGCTCTATCTTTCAAGTTCCTCGAAGCTTCATTGCCTAAGCACTCGATATTTAACTTTTTGTATTTCGAGATCATCCGGTTCGTGTGCAATTTGCATGCACTGCGTTAGGCTCGAATAAAACATCGAAGATCACGTGTGCTCCATTTCGTCGCCTAATCTATAAGATGTATATAACATATACAGCGAATATATAGCATATGCTTACATACCTGACTGTATCAGCATAGTTATCAGCAAGTGTGCCTGAGAAACAATTGAGCGTGACCGGGATCTAGCGATCATGTATTTCAATTAATCGTAAATCTTTTCGGCTGGATCTCTATGGAACCACAACCATTCGACTAATTATTCCGCTCCAAGGGCGAATCATCTCGGTACCGTTCGACGAAATCGACCGTGAGAATCATTTTAATTACGTTATTACGGACCGTGCCAATCGACACATTCCACGGGGTAACCATTCCTCTTACCTGCTTGCTTTTCCCTTAATTTCCCTTCCTTTTTCCTATTCCACTGCCTCCATTGAATTCCACTTATTCTTATCTTTCACGATCTTCCTCCGCTTCTTCCCTCTCCTTTTCCCCTCTTCTTCTTCTTCCACTTCTTCTATTCTCCTATTTTTCCCCTCTCCCCCACTCTCTCTGTCTTTCTGTCTTTCTCTCTCCCCCACCTTTTTTCGTTAATAATTAAGTGTACTAATTGGGTGGTTCGAGCGATGGCGTACCTATCTGATTAATGCCCGATACTAAAAGCGGTTCGTGCCTAAAGAGTACGTTTTATAGCTTCCTGGATTTCTTGCGGCGTTTTACGGAAGTGCCGCGTACGAACAATAAAGCCGGGCATGCGTTCCACGGGCTCTTTTATCCGGCTGATATACAACGATGTCTGACCAGTATCGCTTTCTTTTCTTGCAGATGCGCCAACGGTTATATCGGGCAGAGATGCGAGTTTAAGGATTTAGATGGTTCCTATTTGCGTAAGTATCCCGTTCTATGCTCTCTTGTTGTATTCCTTCCCGCCACGGGCCAGCGTAGTCTTATTTCCCACTCTCGCGGCCTGTATAGCCGCTCCCGCGTATAGCGCCATCTCCGTGCAACGTGCACCCGAACCGCGACTCTCCCTTGGCTGCTCCGGCGGCGGTGACTGAGTTTCGAGGCTTGGGCCCGTAGGGACAGGAAGCCTGGGCCCGGTGACTAAGAAAGTGACGTTTTTGTTACAGCTTCCCGGCGACGTGTAATGTTGGAGACAGCCAGCATCGCCGGCGGTGCCACGATAGCAGTATTTCTGGTCGTTATCATTTGCATAGCGGCTTACATCCACTGTAAGCGAAAGCAAAAGGAATTGCGGTCGAGGTACGTATTTTCCTCGACGTTCTTCCCATTATTCTTCCTCCCTTTTCTCTTCTTCTCCTTTTCACTCGCGCGTCGCGAGTGTTTGTTTTTTGATAACATCGTGGATCGACGATGAGCACGATAATCGTCGGCGAATAATGGATCTCGGATCCCGACGATGGTCAGGTCTCGTCGATCTTTAATCGATCCTGACCAGTCGATAAACGCACGAATTTCACATTCGACGTTATTTCTGTGCCAACAGTAACTGCGTCGACACGGTGGATGGTCCTGGCCGAGATCCGGAGCTGAGGCCGTTTAGCAACCGCAGCCGCTCCCTCATGATCTTCATGACCAAGAATCCTAATAGCACGGTAAGTGTAGCACGCGTGCACCTGTGTCGATATCCACCCTTTCAACGCGTTTCCAATCTTTTTCCTCCTTTTCCTATCAGGATCTGCCGCAATTTTTCCCTTTGCTATTCATTCCTTCGCGGAGATATAGCACTTATAAATATCGCGAATCTCTTAAAACCGAGCATGCTTTGAACACGATTCATTGATCATTGCCGTGTCGTCAAAGTACCGAAACGCCCGCAGCGAGAGTCGCCATCTTGCGGGGAATTGCTCGAATTAATTGCCTTCGCGATTAGCCCTCTGGAGACGAATGACGTTCAACTGGCTCTTTTGGCTCGTGGTGAAGTTTCCACTGCCTGTTCTTATTTATTATTCCACTGGCAATTTGAAACGCACTTGCTACGTGAACGTAGGATTATTCCGGTATGCTATAGGTAATCACAGTGGTACGCTATCTGCATATTGGGTCACCCGATTTGATCACGATTCGGTACAAAATGACGCTGCATTCGTCTCGCGAGGGCTAACAGCCGCGATCCCCGAGGCAGATATACACGCGAATAGTTAATTCTCGGTGCACGATAATTCGTGGCATAAAATCGATGAGAGCTAGGGCAGGTTGAATAAAAGTTGCGTTTTTACTTTGACCAGGCGGCGATAGAGCAGACGAGAATGCCCGGATGGAACTGCCCGGAAGCGGAGTCCATGAGAATGGCGTCCATCAGCGAAGGCAAGCGCTCGAGTCAATGATAGAGCCAGTCCGGTGCCTAATTCCACGACACGAACCGAGGCGTCCAGCGTAGAGATCACCGAGACACCAGGTCGACGGAAGGGAATCACTTTCACCCAGCTGCTTTCTGTCTCCGTCCATGGACTACGTTCCCGCGGTGGCGTAGCAGAGAAGAAGGAAGAGAAGGAAAATCCGTTGTGAACTTTTCGCGAACCACGCAGCCCCAACGTCGTTATCCAACGTTCATTTGTGCCTGAATTAAATCCGCTCGACGAATTTCCCGGCTCGCTCGTTGCGCAGCAAGATCATACGCCTAGGCTCGAACCGTGCGTTCCGTTCAGATCGGCAGGATTTTCGTTGAGAAGAGGAGACGAGGAAGAGAAACATCATCGAAGAGAGGAGGATCTCGTTGACGGCCGGAAGAATCGATACGTGGATCGGGATCCTCGGGACCGATGATCCGTGCGAGATCTAGAAGAGCGTAGGATTAAAAAGGAAGTACGTAGAGCTGGTAACTTTAAATAGCTGGACCTGAACAGCTGGAAGAACAAAGGACAAGAAAGTAGAAAAGAAGGGAAGCTTAAAAATAAAGCCTCTGCTGAATAGGTGACTCTCTTAATAGAAAGAAAAAGTGAGGAAGAGAGAAAGAGAGAGAAAGAGAGAGGAAAGAAGCATTTAGCGCGAACGTAAACGGAGAAGAAGCATAAGTAATTTGTTCCTATCGGAGATACGAGATAGTTTAGAGCAGACAATAATAACCGGAGAATAATTACATAACGTTATTAGCATCGGTTAAGATAAATGTACCAGTTAAGTTTCGACGAATAATCCATTGCTAAGTAGAAACGTTGCTCGTCGTAGAACATTTTTTCTTTCCTCGGTTTCCACCGAGGAAACGCGCGGAAATAAGCTTTCTCCCACCACCCCACACCCCCCGGGTTCACTGCTTTTTTTTCTCCCTCCTCCTTTTCCCTACCCCCCTGTTTTCCGTTTGTCCCATTTCGTCCTCTTCTTTTTTCCCGCATCCCCACGCCGAGATCGATCCGTCGATGCGAGTTCCGAGTTCAGCACAAGTTTCTCGTAAATCAACGCCACCGAGACGCGGAGGATAGAACGATTCACGTATCAAAAAGAAAAGGGAAAAGCAGACAAAAAGAAAAAGCGTTCACGGATACAGAGTATTCGAAGAATATTCCAAGTTGTAAGTCGTCGTGCGACATTTCTCCTTCTAAAACCGGTGATCTAGGATGGAAGAGATCGACAAATTTCGGCGCTCCGTATCAGCTCGCTTCTCGTTCGTCCAGTGTGCCGGATAAGATCGGTAATCGAACCCCGTCACGAAAATAATTCGACGTTTTGATTCGCGTGACAGGACGAAAGCTTGGTAGCAGCAAGTGTTTCACCTTGTAAAATGTTCATTCAATACAGACGCAATTATTTATTGGAAAGCTCTGCGTTAAGTATATGTATCTTTTCATTCGCACAATGCCGTACGTGTAACTTAATTTAAATTCGTAATATAATTTAAATTCGCGCGGTTAGGCGAGTGTAACGGCCGAGAATGGTGAACTGAGAGAAGGGCCTGAAAATGGTGTCTCTGCGCGGTGTTGAAAGCTAGCAAAAGGAAACCAAGCCTCGGTGTAGTGTTCGTTACAGTCGATTCCTCATCGACCGAGTCCTAAAGGCGAATGCACGAGTCGCGGTGGCGTCGCTGGCGTCCGAGAAAATTCGCCATCTTGAAAAATCGCGGAAAGCGTGTGCGGCGCCTGGGCAGATCTCTGTTCCTCGCCTCTCCTCTTGTAAATAGTAAATTATCCACACAGGGCCAGTCGATTCGTTCTCCTTTAAATTTATCCGACGTGCGATTGGGCCGTTGTAGCGGACAAACTACAATTATGACGACGCTGTTCGACGGCGGTTTCGCCATTGCTCTGTGGTAGCCATTGACAAATAAATTTATCGGGAAACGAGTCGATCGGATGGCAGAGTCGATTGCTCTCGCGTCGCACCGTTAGGACAACCATCGAATCCACCCCCGTGTCTTCTTTCTCTGTGGCGGAAGAAGCCGTGGTATCAATCGCAACGTACGCCAGCGGACGCCGCCGCGACGCCATCTTGAAAGAGCTGATCGGTGATGCACGATGGATCGTTCGTTTCGTCAGTCGTACCTAACGCTTTCGAAAGGATCCTGTATTCGAGGGTGATTTGTACATTTGTAGATACTGTGCTGTGGAGTGAAGAGAAGCTTCCAAACGCTTTGAAGAAGAACACTTGTGTAACGTGTACGAGTAACGTGTGCAACGCGCAACCCGATCGTCACCCGACCACGCTTTCGTTTCTTTCCTCGGCGAGCCTCGTGTTTTCTCTTTCGTTTCGGCATTTCAGATTTGTAAAACACCGTGAGGACGCGGGTAGTTGGGCGGAGGATCGCGGAAGAGTCCGAAATCGAAAGATGGGAACGAAAAGAACGAAAAGAACGAAGAAGATTACCCGAGGGATATACGCATACGTACGTAGAATTAGAAAACGAGACGGGTTCGGAGACGTGAAACGCGCGGAGCTAGGTGGCCTAAAGTGTATTCTTCATTTTTCTTTCTCTGTCACGGCCGCGAGTCCGAACCGCGGCCGTGCGGTGTAATTTATTATAAATAGTTCTAATTAACGTGAAGAAACCGTAGCGTGAAAATGGAAAAGTTCTAATTTAATTATTCCCCGATCATACTTCTCTCGTAACTTTGTACTTGGTTCCTAATTTATTCTTACATTATTATTTTTCCTTTAATTATTAATTACCACGGTTATTATTATTAACTTACTAATTTACGATCGTTAGCCACGATCATTTAATTATTCTCCTTTTATTATTATTATCGAATCACGTTTAATCAGTTTATTCCTAATGCTATCGCGTATTATTTGGTTAACACGGTATCTTTTAAGGACACGCACTTATTATTTATAAACGAACGAACGAACGAAAGAAAAAAAAGGATAATATCGAAAAAGAAAAAAAAAAAAATGGAAAAAAAAAAGCGTAAAAAAACGATGAAAAGCACGCAATTTCCGACGCGAGTGTGCCTGTGAAAGCCGCGCGAGACTCGATGAAAAGCTTGCGTTCCGATACGCAGAGCCTATTCGGCGAATTATCGCGGTACCTGCGTTGTTCTTCAATCGGGAAAGCCATTTTTCCTAACACGTCCGGCCAGCAGACATCTTCTTTTATAACAGCGACATACGATTCGTGCTCTTCAACCCGTAATCGTTGGATCAGCTTTCGAAAAACCGAAGCCCCAAAGGCAAGTTCGAGCGATCGTGCCTCTCGATCGTCGTCGGTTCCTCCTAACTTTTCCAATTGATCGTCTCGCGTTTTCCAACGCGACCATCTCCATCCGGAGAACGATCGCTCGAACTCGAGAAACGATGGAACAACGAATGGCTGATTGTCGAACAAGGAGGACCCTCCAAACATTTCGTACGAGAGCGATCGTAAGGAAATAATTCATAGGTAGACTGCGAGTGTCAGCTTCTAAACGTTAATAATCGTCGCGGCCGGGTGATTGCTCGTGACACGATCCTTGGGTCCAGTTTCTATCCGATAGATCGTCGAGGGAGAAAGAAAAGAAAAAAGATTCGAATTTTGCGCGTGGCACGAGGAAAGGAAGAAAGAGAAGGAGGATCGTGGTCGAGAGCAATGACTCGGGCTCGTGACTTAGCGACCGTTTAAGCGTAGACAGTGGTGGCATTTTAGTACATCAGACAGCGCCGTAGCCGTGTATCGCGAAGATCAAGACGAAGAAGAGAACCGAAGGGAGGGAAAGAACAAGAAAAAAAGGCAGACGCGAGAAGGATACGTTGTATTCGGTCGAGAGAAAGAGAAAGAGAAAGAGAAAAAGATAGGGCTAGAGAGGACGCGAGGAAATTTCGGCAAAGTTTCTGCCGGGCCAGCGAGCGGCGCGGGGTCTTATCCTAGAAGATAGACCCCTCGGGAGCAGTTGGTTCCACTGACCGGTCGATCGGAACCGACTCCGAGGACACTGGAATCGCGAAATTCACGGTGGAACGAGATCGTTCCGATCGATGCTTGGTCGGCTCTCCCGGCCGCCGCTCTCACCCGCGTATTCTCTTCTTTCCTTTGTTTTCTCTTGTTTGCTTCTTGCTTTTCCGTTTCCGTTTCTTCTTAATTTCCTGTTTTCCCTTTCTTTTTCCTTTCTGTTTCTGTTTTTCTTTTTTCCCTGTTTTTCGTTTTAATTTCCTGACGGAAATCTTCGCGCTCAGAGGACACGCGAAAGGTCTCCAAGCGAAATTTTTTTCTTTTTTTCGTGAATTGCGTGCGCTTTATGACGGCGGATGGTAGGTACCCCGTCCGACATACCAAATCCGTACTCTCTGTCGCGATATATGCTGTTCGTTGTAAATGTACCAAAGACAATGTCGATTTAACTGACAAAATAAAGGTAGTTTATTTATAAAAATGAATGAAAAAGAGAAAAAAATAGAGATGTGGGAGAGGGAGAGCGAGAGAGAGAGAGAGAGAGAGAGAGAGAAGAAAATCGGCGAGAGAGAAAGGAGCGGGGCGTGTACGCGCATGCGCTTGCACGCGCGCGCGCTCCTTTGAAAAAGTCGAACGGTGAGAACGATGAACGAATATAACGGGGATTATACGAGAGTTATCTATCCAAAGGAAAAAATGCTGCTAAAGTGTCATTTAGCTAGACGAGATTGATCACTGGATCCGCAATGTTGCATCGAAACATTGTTATTATTTTTGTAAAGAAACCATGTACATGTATTAACTTAGCGTGCTCTGCGTATGGAAGCTTACGATATGTTGATTATTATTACTATTATTATTATTGCTATTATTATTTCTATTATTATTATTTCTATTATTATTATTGCTATTATTATCTATTTTTATTATTATCTATTATTATTATGATTATTATTATATTGAAAGGAATAAAAACTTGTAATCTTGTTTCCCGAAATGGTTAAATAGTATAAATAAGCGAGATCGTGCATGTTGCTGTATTCGTCCTTTCAACACTTTCCCGCCATTGTTAACCGATGTTCCATAGGCTGCGCCACTGTCCTTTGCTTCCTTTCTCTTACGATTAGATGACAATACGAGGGAAATGAGTGACTATAGTTTTTGAAGAAATTTTAAAACGTGTATCGTGATATATATAAAAGAAAGTAAAAAAAATAGGAGAGATACATAGAACAATTTTTCGTACGTATATTTGATCGAAAAGAATACAATATTTAGAAGCTATTTTTCGCACTTGATCGCGTAGTAGTTTCGCGGTACGGTAGGTTTGATTAACGCGATTCGAAGTAACCGTTCGTGTACCAAAAAGTGTTGCGTCTAAAATATATCGCTGGTATTAATATACGTGTGTGTTAAATTAACTATAAATTGTTCAGCAAATCGTTAAACTTTGAGTGATACCGCAGAATTTGGAAATTTGAAAAGTGTTTGCGAAAAGTAGTTCGGCATGCAAATATCGGTACAATTTTTTTTTTTTCGTGTGTACTTTCGATGCAATATGTTTAACTGGAACACAGATTTAGCTATGGTCATGCTTATAGACATGTAACTTTTTGGTTCGTGAAATAGTGATATTATGAACTCGAACGTGCATCGCCAAGGCAAAATTGGCAGGTTGGACATGGTGGAACTTCAAAGCATTAGCGCCACGCCAACTGGGAACCGCAGCTATGTAAATACACATATTTAATTACTATTTAATATTTATTATTTCCATCATGAATCCTGCATCCAGGTCAGTGATCGTGTTCATGCGATAGGCTAATATTTCATGAATATTCAATCATTTTTGCTAATATTGCATTTCAATATACCATCGTAGCGACGTATACGTCTGCGCATACGTATGCGCATATATATACGTATACGTATACGTAACGGATTTATTTGAAACAGCTTAACCGCCACTCGTCTGAAATGTGTAAGGGAAAAGAATTTAAAAAAACTATTGTCCGAAACATGAAATATAGAAAATCAATTTTTTATTTTATAATATAACAAAACAATATTTCTAAGTTTGATGGTTCTTCGTTTATGAAAATTTAAAGTAAAAACATTTATACGTAACATCAAGCGTAAACGAAGTTTCGTTAGTAATATTACTGAAACAAAATGACTTCCTTTGGTTTATCAAAATTACGTAATCAATTTGGATTCTTTCCTGAATGCTCTTCTATTCAACATGATACATATATACATAATACAATCATATTTTAACCTTCAAATAAGATTATCTATGTATATAGTGTATCATACACTATAACAAATAAAAAAAAAAAATGAGGAACTATATATTAATGCTAAAATTAATGATTTTATAATAATATTTCAATTGAAGAAATCGAAATAACAAAGAACACGGTACATCTAGTACTTTTTAGGATTATGTAAAAAAATGATAAAAAAATTGATTATTGCCACGATTAATCAACTAATCTCAATTCTAATTAACGACCAGAAGAATTCAAATACATTCAAAATTAAAACAATGTCAACAAAAGAATTCATATGCGTTAAAAAATAACAGAATAATTAAACTGTTAAGTAATATAAATTATCTTACAGTGAATATCACACGGTTTGCGTTATGCATATTTAAAAAAAGATGCATAATTTTTAACTCATTTTAAAGTGTCCCATAAATATTTACGTTTCCTTAAATAATTCTGCCAGAAAACTATATCACGTATATTAACTAATCCTCTGATCTGTTCTGATGTTCGATCGCATAGTGGTACAGCAGGGGTCCATTTTAATAGATTTGGTACCACTTCCTGGAATTTATGCCTGGCCAAACTCAATAATGCTGAAATAACGCCTTCTTTTTGTTCATCCGAGCCTAATTAAAAGTATCAGTTATTAGTTAATTAAATTCTCGATACAATGTTTGAAACACGAATAAAATAAATAATGAAAATGTACCTTCGCCGGAAATGATTAGATCAGATAATTGTTCTACAATTTCACCAACTGCATTATCCTTATCTTCTATAGGAAATACACGCATGAGATTACCTATAATCATAAATGTTTAAACAAATGTTTAAAGTCATGTTTAAATGATTTAAATGTTTAAACAAAGTTTGTTAAATTTGAAACTTACCTAGTAAAGAAAATGCTCGATACGTATTAGGAAGTTTATTATTAACTATCATTGATAACAATGCACCCTTAACGACATTTTTATACGCCCATTCAGTACCTTCTCTTTTCGCGAGAAGTATAATAGCAGTTTCTACATTACTGTGACTATTTTCTGTAAATCAGTTGAATTATATTAAAATGATAAATTAACAGCATCATAGGTGTTACTTACTCTGAATTGCCATCAAAAGTTCTTTCAGAATATCTGCAGACAACGTTCCCATTGGGTATTTATAGTATATAGATATCAAGTTCTTCAAGGCATTGAGTTTAGGGAAATCTATGCCTTGTTGTTCCAGAATTAAATGTGCCATACATCTTGGCAATAATTCTGTAAGTAATGAATAATTACAATAACGGAAAAAAAATTTCATTTTGAAATTAATAATGAAATTATACATACCGGCATTCGTATCGTTATTTGGAAACACTTCTGGCCAACAAGTTAATACTGTATACAAAATAATTACCGCATTAATTCCCAAACAATATAGAGCATCGCAACAGAATATTCTTACTTTTTCTCGATCTTTTCTAATTCGTGCTAAAACCGTGTACATTCTAGAAAGAGACTCTATAGCAGATCTCTAAATATAAAATTAATAAATTATTAATTGCCTTCCTGAAGTTTGTATTGTATATTAAATTACTGGAAATAAAAATCAAACCTCTATTGGTTGGTTAAGTCTAAAAAGTTTGTACTCTATACCAGCTTGAACGATTTGAATTATCGTGGGTTTTGATTTCTCTAAGTCAACTAATAGTGCTGATATTCTTTGTTGTGCTTTTGCCATTAATGGTGCAGGTGGTGTATAAGTGTTATCTAAAACGTGGTTGTGATCCACTTCTTTACTTAAGAAATCTATAATTCCCCTGAAATTTCATGTTATATGTTAATGATTAATTCTGACTAATAATTGATGTAAATATGGTATAATACTAACTTTGCTATGATACAAGCACTACAAGTAGATTGTAATGTTTTAATCACATCCCAATGTATAGAACTTTCCCAATCACTGTCTATAAGCCTTTGCAACTGAATCTCCACAAATTTATCTGAAATAAAACATATTTTCAATGATTCCATATTTTCTCTTTTTTTTTTTTTTTTTTTTTAGCAATCATGTAATGAAAATAATCTTACCTACTACTGAACGAACATGTGAAAGTTTGGCAGATTGATTCTTATTCCTTTTGGTTTTTATACATTTAATCTCGTTAACATATTGTTGCAATTTTATAATTGGATGATATGGTTTCAAATTATATTCTGTAGTAAAATCTTCTTCCTTCTTACATACATTGTTAGTTAATTTTTCAGTATTTAAGTTCATTTCTTTTACATCACTTGTTTCTAAAGTATTGATGGAAGACCTACTATTGGAATTTAATGCTCCCTGTTGGCTCATCTTGTCTATTCCATTGATTCCCTTTACATTTATACAATTATTTCCATGTTTGCGCTTTAAGAGTTTACTATGCTGATTTGATTCAGGTTTTGTCTTGATAGTTTTTCTCAAACAACTATTGGGCTTAGTATCAAATTTACTATAATTATTTTTGCTCCTTTCAAATGAATTCTTATTTTCTAAATCACTTAACGAGTTTTTAATATTAGGGATTGACATTTTACGAATAGTATCTTCTATAACATTTCGGTTGCTGTTAGAATACGTACTCGACAGTTTCGATAGCGGTTCTTCTATCTTAATGCTAGAAATTCTATGTACTTCGTTATTATCTTCCTTTGATTTATTTAAATTCATACAATTCCTTTGTGTATTTTTAATGACAGTAGTACCTTTTCTATTATTGATTAATCCTTTCTTAAACTGCAAAAAGTTATCTGATCTTGTTGTCTGATTTTGTCCAACTACTGTACTTTTAGGTACATGTGCGATACGAGGTTTCTTTTTAGGTATATAATCATCTTCTTTAACTTCTTCTTCTTTAATTATTTCTTCTTTAACTTCTTCTTCTTTAATTACTTCTTCTTTAACTTCTTCTTCTTTAACTTCTTCTTCTTTAATTTCTTCTTCTTTAACTTCTTCTTCTTTAATTTCTTCTTCTTTAACTTCTTCTTCTTTAATTTCTTCTTCTTTAACTTCTTCTTCTTTAATTTCTTCTTCTTTAACTTCTTCTGCTTTAACTTCTTCTTCTTTAATTACTTCTTCTTTAACATCTTCTTCTTTAACATCTTCTTCAACTGTCTTTTGTTCAGAAATATTGGAATTACAATGTTCATAATTTTGTGTTTCTTGACGTTCCGGTGTAACTTGACATGTATTCATAATTGTACCGCTCTAAAAATAAATTTTTTAATTTCTTTATTAAGTGTTGCCGATTGTCGGGTTTTTTCAGGCCATAAAGGTCACTTATATTTTTTTTTCTCATAGAATTCGGGGTAGTAGGAATACTTGTTTTAATGCGAGCCATTGAACTACTATATTGCGATAATTCTAACATACGTGTATGTTCCATTTTATTGATACCTTCATCTAACTTTGATAATGTGTCTGAAGAATTAATTTTTTTCGTATGATCATCTGATTTTGACAGTATATCCAAGGGTTTAGTTTCCTTAATAGATTCATCTAACTTTGATAATATGTCCAAATTATTAGTTTTCTTGACACGTTCATTTGATTTTAACAATATGTTTGAAGAATTCATTTTTTTCATACGTTCATATGATTTTGATAATATATTCAAAGTGTTAGTTTCTTTGACCAAATCATCTGATTTTTTATCACCTGGTTTTGATAGTATGTTGAAGGGATTACTTTTTTTGATAGATTCATTTAATTTTGATATCATGTTCAAATTATTGGCTTTTTTGACACATTCATCTGATTTTGATAATATGTTCAAGGGCTTAGTTTCTTTGACCAATTCATCTGATTTTTGATTATCTGATCTTGATAGTATGTCCAAGGGATTAGTTGTCTCAATAGATTCATTTAATTTTGATATCATGTTCAAATTATTGGCTTTTTTGACATATTCATCTGATTTTGATAATATGTTCAAGGTCATAGTTTCTTTGACCAATTCATCTGATTTTTGATCATCTGATTTTGATAGTATGTCCAAGGGACTAGTTGCCTCAATAGATTCATTTAATTTTGATATCATGTTCAAATTATTGGCTTTTCTGACACATTCATCTGATTTTGATAATATGTTCAAGGTCTTAGTTTCTTTGACACGTTCATCTGATTTTTGGTCATCTGATTTTGATAGCATGTCCAAGGGATTAGTTGCCTCAATAGATTCATTTAATTTTGATATTATGTTCAAACTATTGGTTTTTTTAACACATTCGTCTGATTTTGACAATATGTTTGAAGAATTCATTTTTTTCGTACTTTCATATGATTTTGTCATGTCCAGGGTGTTACTTTCTTCGACACATTCATCTGATTTTGATAATATATTCAAAGAATTAGTTTTTGAGATACGTTCATCTGGCTTTAATAATATATCCGATCTATTAGTTTTTTCAATACTTTCTTCTGTAATCCATGACGTGTCTGAAGTATTTTCGATACTTTCATTTAATTCTGATAACGTGTCCGAAGTATTACTTTCTTCGACATATTCATCTGATACTGATGATACATCGAACATAATAATTTCTTCGATATATTCATCCGATTTTGATAACGTATTCAAAGTATTACTACTTTCAACTGTTGTTTCCATTGGAGACTCGTTCGTGCCTATATTATGGTCGTCAGAACATGATTTACTTTGCTTGGAAGACTTTATTTCCGTTGCATTTTCTGTTTTGTTTTGTTGTTGCATTGTTAATTTCGACTTTGCGCCTGTATCCGCCTTAAGCTGCATTAGTTTACCAGATTCAATAGAATCTGATAATATTCCTGAATCAGTTTCACCTCCTACTGACTTACTACATTCAACCGAATTTTGTATTACTTTTATATCTTCAACTTCACTCATATCCACATTATTAATATTTGAAGTGGAAGTAGAATCACTTTCCATACTATTAATGTTTGAAGTGGAAGTAGAATCACTTTCTATATTATTAATGTTTGAAGAGGAAGTAGAATCACTTTCTATATTATTAATGTTTAAAGTGGAACTAGCATCACTTTCTGTATGTGATAGACTATCAGAGTCTACATTAGTATTTGCTTTATCATTACTACTATCATTAGACATATCAGTAGATGAATTTGATTCAGAATCACTGTTCAACTTTCTCACATCTTCAATGCTACTTAACGAAGAACTACTAGATTTATTGAAAAGTGGAGAAAATCGATACTTGCATTTTTTAGGTCTTTTTCTAGAAGGCTTCTGCTCAGTTTTCTTTACAATTGATTCAACCTTCCATGAGCCAATATGCGAACTCGGCAATCTTTTACGTTTCAATCGGGATAATTTACGTTTCTTTATATTTCTTGGTTTATCCACCCTAGTGTTGTTCCTGTTTTTGTTTTCATAGAATTCCGTCATCTTTTGCCACAATTCAATGAAATTGAATGGCATGGCATTATTTACACCATACATGTGAGGAGGATTCTGATGATGATAATGTTGGCAACTATTGTTCTGATCTGACTTCCTTTTCTTTAATTTCTTTTTTATTTTATTTTCCAAAGTATCAATTTTCTTTTGTAAGGAGGTAATAATCGGCAATGAAGATGCTGCCATACTCTCACAATGACCATTTTGGTTAGCTGTACTCAAGTTTATCATTGACAAGGGATTATGTGCTGTTGGTCCAATATAATAGGTACCTTGATTCGATGCTGAGGGAAAAGTATTATTATTATTATAGCAGTTTGCAGGATTTAACGAAATTGTATGAGGATGTAATAGACTTGTAGGAATAAAATCTACATGACTACTCTGATTCTGTAAATGATGCGCAGGAGTACTTGATAATGTCGGTAAACTTTCAGTTCTATATCGTTCACTGTTTATATCTAAAAAAACAAATAGAATTACGGAAATATATTTTATATGAATGAATAAAGAAACTTGTTTAATATATTACCTGCTGGCATTTGAAGCATGGATGAAGGTTTCTGAGATCTTTTTATTGGAGATGAAATTTTTTCAATAAGTTTTGGACATGAATTGCTCATAACTTTACATATTTTCTCAATAGGAGGTGGTTCTAACAAAATTTCACACTTGCCGCAAAATACAGGATACAAATTATTCTTCACATTATAAAATTCATTTGTTAATACAGATTTATCTCTGACTTCTGGTTTTTGCATTATTATATCTTTAGTTAATATTGTATTGATTGCAGCATCCTTTAATTTCACTTCTAAAATAGAGATTGAGTTTCATTAAAATTGAGAAATATTTTTAAATATATTTTTCTCGATTAACTTACTATTTTCATTCTCTATAGGGACTTTCTTCTCCATCTTCTTCATTTTTGTGTCATAGGATTTCTTAACATTTTTCAACTCCTGCTCCAATTCTTTGACTTTCACTACAATGGGTAATGAGAATGGGTCATTAAAGTGCACAAAATGTTTAAACCTTTATCAAATCATACCTTGAAGAGAAGATTTCTCTAAATCATACTGCATTATTTTATCATTCTGATTTGCCTCAATATCCTTTATTTTACATATTAGTTGCTGTATATGTTGTTTATCAGCTGCTGCCTTTATATTATGTTCACTTACTTGTGTTGTTAAAATTTTAATGTTCTTTTTATATTCTGTGTTTTGCTGCAAATTAAAAATGAATTCAATGTGAAGTATGAATATTTTAGCAGCATAAATACTTTGTAGACATATACGTTTTGTTACTTACAAGTTCTAGTTTAATAACTTTTGCTAAGGTGGAATTATAATTACATGTTATTTTTTTTACTTCTTTATTTAATCCATCCAATTCTTGTTTTGATCGCTCACATTCTTTTAATTTATCATTATATTGTTTAATTAATTCACTAAAAGGATATAATTTATAAATATTAATTGCATAAGGTAATATATATATACACATAAAAGAAAATCATGATTAATGTATCGAATATCTTACTGAGTTCCAGAAATTCTTTTCTTTAAGAGCAAATACGATTGTGTTAACTTTTCCAAATTGGCAATGTCCTCCTATAATAAAATAAATAACGATTAAATCTTTTTAAAATTACAATTCTTGGACAGAATAATACATAAAAATTTTATCAGTTTCACAAAATTTAAAAGATAGAGGTATAAATGTACATATATCTTATTAAAGCACCTGTACTGTACTTGAAAAATTCAAATTGGATTTTTATTATTACTGATATCAGATTTACAATATAACCTCAAGCTAACCTACATACTTGATACTAGTAAATTTAATTCAAAGAAAAAGCATTTGCGTATAAAATACTCACTTGAATGGTTTCATTTGTTTTTAGATCAAGAAGATTATTATCCATTCTAATTAAAATGACAATTAGTATTACTTATTTTACAATTGTTTGTATTTCTACACGCCGATCAAAAAACACGTTCATGCGGCATTCATTTTAATGTTTACAGTTCCGGTTAGGGACCCTAGATTTAATATAAATTTACTAGTATAACGAAATACACCTCATGTATAAAGGAAAAATATTTAAAATATATCGTATTTTCCAAAATTGTATTAAATAAATATATAAAAAAATTTAATATTATAATTAAAAGTAGAATATTAATAGGAGAAAATTTAATGAAACTATATGTTACAGGAAATAAAACAATTAAAAACAAAATTTTTAACTGAGGTCAAATAATGATCTAAACATTTAGTTTTTAAATTCCAACTAATATTTCTATAGTATAACACGGAATGAATATAATTACAATTTACAATGATATCAGATACTATCAAAACATACAGTCGTAGTATGATAGGATTTTCTCTTTGATTTTTGAGTTTGAAATAAATTATAAATATTTGTACACACGATAATTTCTGTTATTCGAAAAATAAATTTAATATTTAATGTCATTTACTGCGGAATAATAATCTTTTATTGAAATTTTATTTCTAAATTTTATTCAAATTTATTTTTCATTATAACTAGAATATTCATACTATCAAGGTCTCATTTTCCTTGATTAATTTGTGCTATTACTTTTTAATTATATGTTGATTAAATATATTTGAAAAATCTCTTTTTAAATTATTACTTGAAACTTTTGTATTCTTTGATGCATTACAATTTATTTCTAATTATATAATTATTTTGTAATTTTCTGTATATATACCTTCAGAGACAAGTACGTAGAATGTATATAGATTGGTTATGTGATATATTGCTTATGCGTTGTGGAGTACAATAGCATATTCTAAGCGCTTGTTTTTATTATTATATTACAGTCTTGTAAGTTTGATTTTTAGATAAACATAAAATATCCCCTCAATTCTTTACTGTCATAATTCTAGTAAGTAGATATCAATTTTCAAATTGATTTTCTGCAACCTTTTACAATTTAGGTTAATTTTTGGAAATAATATACAGTTATTTTGTAAATATATAAATGGAGCTAATACAAAGTTTAATGCGATTTATGTAGAAAGAAAAACATTCATAAATTTTATAATTTTATAAAATAATTATTAATTAACCATGGAGAGCAAAGGAATAGAAATGGATCAAACTCTAGCTCAAAGACTTCTCTTTGAAGGTGCTACATTAATTGTACTAGACATACCTTATGGTTCAGAATTTGGTATCGATTTAAAATCATGGAATACAGCAGATAAATTTAAAGGTATTAAAATGATTCCACCAGGATTTCACTATGTTCATTATAGGTAAGTTTACTAAAGTTCCATGTTTGTTATTCATAGTATAATGTTAGCATATATATTCTTAAAGTGCTGTAGATGAATTTGGAGAAACAACACCTAAAATTGGTTTTTTTCATACATTTAAGAAATCTGAATTTATAGTCAAATGTTGGGATGCAAAAGAAGAGGACCTAAATTCAAAAAGTATGATAGCATTTAATGTAATATGAATAACACCAAAAAAATGTATTATTAATAAAATAATTATATTAATAAATAATAAATATTAATAACATTTAACTTTTCATATAAAGCTGTAGATAAAAAAACAGTTGAAAAATTGAAAAGTAATTTGAAAGATTTAAACAGATTCCTAGGATGTTACCCATATGATATATGGTTGCAGTGGAAAGAATTAACAAATCATATTACTCCTACTCTTGCTGAACGGTGTATACCTATATGCGGGTATGTTAACTACTTTTCTAACTTATTAATTACTATTTACTTTCTTGTTAATAAATTCATGTATTTTAGTTTTGTAAGATCAGCGTTAGAATTAGAACATTGCACTGATGCTGCAAGACCAAGAGGTGGACAATCAGTTCCAAAGAAAACAAGAAGATGTGGAATTACTACAGAAGAGAAGGAAAATGAACTTCTTCCTGATATGAAACCTAAGTCTGGTACAGAACTTCGACTTTCTAAAATACCTGATAAGCATTACCCAGATGGAGCATCGCCAAGTGAAATTACAAAATATTCTTTAGATTCAAGTTATGCCTTGAATACTATTATTAATAACTTAATATTGTAAGCAATTGGTTAAACATTTTGTTGCAGGTTTCTATCATCTATTATGTCTGATAATGGTATCTTTTCAGTCCTATAGAGATAATCGGTGAAGTGCAATTAGCATTTGCCTGTTTTCTAGTGGGACAAAGTTTTGATGCTTTTGAACACTGGAAGAAACTTGTCTCTCTCATCTGTGGTGCTGATTGCGCAATATCGCAACATCGCACTATTTATGTTGAATTTATGAAAGTATTAGAAATTCAGTTGATGCATGTACCTGAAGACATACTTTGTGATATTGTAGCTAATAATAATTTTATATATCAAAATTTGCGCAAACTATTTGCAAATATTGAAATAAATCCAAAATTAGATGAACGACTAAAGTCTTGTACAAGGAGATTTAGCAAACGATTATCTACAAAATTCTTATGGGATTTTTCTAATTTGCAGGAAGAGGTTGAAGATGATGCACCAGTTATTGTTACATTAGAATAAATTTGAATATATTTGCAACTTATATAAAATTGCGGTTGTAAAATATATGATATAAAATACATATTTATTCTTTGTATATAGATAACTTTTATAAGTATAAATAAGGATGGAGGTAGATATAGAAAATAGATATTAAAATAATACAATAAATTTATTTAAGAGTCAGTATCAGTTATTACTATCTTATAAGATATTACATTACATTATTTCATTATGTATATGATATATTACAAAAGTGATGGTCTGCGTCATGGGTATTAGTCATCGTGAATATCTCAAATTCTCTAAAAAGTAAATTAAGCATATTATATAACGTTTACCATTTTTACAATATTTTTTGTAAGATAGTTAATTTTTATAAATATTTTATGAATATTTACCGGGTGAGGTGGTCGAGGTCGAGGAACGTGTATCGGTCGAGGTTTAGGCATATTTACTGGTCTACCGGGTTCCGGTTCAGCTTCACGACGAAGACGCTGAAAATTTAAAGTAAAATTTAATCAAATACTCGTAGTATTAATAGTCACAATACAATTAGTTAATATTTTATAAATATTTACCGGGTGAGGAGGTCGAGGTCGAGGAACGTGTATCGGTCGAGGTTTAGGCATATTTACTGGTCTACCGGGTTCCGGTTCAGCTTCACGACGGAGACGCTGAAGATTTAATGTAAAATTTAATCAAATACTCGTAGTATTAATAATCACAATACAATTAGTTAATATTTTATAAATATTTACCGGGTGAGGTGGTCGAGGTCGAGGAACGTGTATCGGTCGAGGTTTAGGCATATTTACTGGTCTACCGGGTTCCGGTTCAGCTTCACGACGGAGACGCTGAAGATTTAATGTAAAATTTAATCAAATACTCGTAGTATTAATAGTCACAATATAATTAGTTAATATTTTATAAATATTTACCGGGTGAGGTGGTCGTGGTGGGGGAACATATACTGGTCGGTTACTAGGTTCCGGTTCTGGTTCAGCTTCACGACGAAGACGCTGAAAATTTAAAGTAAAATTTAATCAAATACTCGTAGTATTAATAGTCACAATACAATTAGTTAATATTTTATAAATATTTACCGGGTGAGGTGGTCGTGGTGCGGGAACATATACTGGTCGGTTACTAGGTTCCGGTTCTGGTTCAGCTTCACGACGAAGACGCTGAAGATGTAATGTAAAATTTAATAAAATACTCGTAATATTAATAGTCACAATATTATTAGTTGATATTTCATAAATATTTACCGGATGAGGTGGTCGTGGTGGGGGAACATATACTGGTCGGTTACTAGGTTCCGGTTCTGGTTCAGCTTCACGACGAAGACGCTGGAGATTTAAAGTAAAATTTAATCAAATACTCGTAGTATTAATAGTCACAATATAATTAGTTAATATTTTATAAATATTTACCGGGTGAGGTGGTCGTGGTGCGGGAACATATACTGGTCGGTTACTAGGTTCCGGTTCTGGTTCAGCTTCGCGACGAAGACGCTGAAGATTTAAAGCAAAATTTAGTAAAACACTCATCATATTAATAGTTGCAATATAATCGGTTGTTTTTTTATAAATATTTACCGGGTGAGGTGGTCGAGGTTTTGGAATATGTACCGGTCGTGGAACTTTAATTGGTTTAGGTTTAGGAACTGATGGTCGTTTAGGATCCGGTTCAGCTTCGCGACGAACACGCTGAAAATTTAAAGCGAAATTTAGTGAAACACTTGTATTTTGATTGTTATAATGCAGTTGGCAGATATATTATAAACATCTATCGTATGTGGTTGAGGAAGAATTACTGGCTTATGCTAAATTAAAGAGTCATCTAGTTCATGATGATACTACAATAAAAAATATATTCATCACTGACTATTTTTAAATTTTGAACATAAATATATATAGGTTTGCAAAAAATTATTAATATGTTCTTTAATCGTACCTCAGTTGAGCGACTATCGAGGGTTTCACCAAGTGCAATTGCCACTAGGGCAAAAGTCAGTATCAAGGCAGCGAACTTCATGTTTATCTGGATAAAAATTATTTATTAGTTGAGAATTAACTTTGTAGAAAAATTGATTTTGATGAAAATGTTATATTTCTATTAGTATTGCGCATTTTTGAAAATACTTTCTATTAAAATGGTTACTTTTATATTCGCAATTTATATCTTACCAATAATTGTTAACCATTAGTCAGTCTCGTGGATTTAGAGACACTGATATCGAATGCTGCGAGTGCAACGTATTTATACGAACTGTTGGACATGTCAATCTCCGATTAAGTGAAAGTTCAAGGTTCCTCGATACTTCTTCGGGAATCACCGTCGATGCATTACACAATGAAGATAAGTGCATTGTTTTTATGGTAATTTGCTTTCTCAAGCATTTCGTTGATCGAACTATTTTATTATTGTTTTGATTCACTTATCGCTAACATATACTCATATCTCTGAGTTTAATTGGGTCATATATTTTCGTTAGGTCAGAACTGTACTTTGCCACAGACATTGATTAAAGCGGCCATCAAATTGCTTTTTAAATGTATATTAATTAATATTTGTTAGAAGTTACTCGAAGATAATTTGATAAAAATTGCTACATTTTTTTTTTATTAGTTGAAGTAAATATTGGACTTAATATGCGTCACGCATGTATTCAATTGTGAAAGTTCAGGTCGTCTGGGAACTACCGCGAATGTTAATGATAAAAATAAATACAGTATTTTCCTCATGGGATTCTTGGAAATGCGTAAGACGATGTTATTCCCCTTTCATGACTGATTTACTTATTTTTCTTATCTAGTTCTTTGTACTATTCGTGTCGTTTATTTTATAATATTTACAGTTTGTTAAGTTTTCAATATTTTGTACTAAACCAAAATTATTTATTTAGGAATTTAATCATTGGATTAGATCATTTATATTTTGGGGGGTTGAAAAAAAAACATGTTTCCGCCCGGGATCGAACCGGGGACCTTCCGCGTGTTAGGCGGATGTGATAACCACTACACCACGGAAACCGTTGGTGGAAGCCTTTTATACTCTTTACATGTCTCGAATTTGATAATTCTAATATTTCTTAAATAATTTTTTTGTACTAACTATTCATCGACGAAACGTCAAACATATTAATATCTAGCGTTTATATAATCGTCAGCACAAGGGTAGGTTAAAATAGAATAAAAAGGCACAATCGGAAATTTATTTCTGAAGAACTTATATTTTATACAAATTATAATAATTACAAAACAATTTAGCAAATTTAAGGTACGTTCTTATTTAGGAGCAGTCTGTGCGTTAGCTTCAAGAGCAAGTTTCTCTTTTGATAATAATGAAACCTTCTCTTCGTACTTCTCACGAAGATCCCGGAAAAGACAAAGCTGCGTTTCGTATTCTTTTTTCAAATCTGCATTCAGTTTTACTGCAGCATCCATTTTGTTAATCATTGTACTATATCGTTCTCGTTCCTCAGAGATTCGTACTTCCATATCATCGACTTCAGCCTGTATGATTGCGTAAATTATAGATAATAAATTAATAATAAAAGTTGACAATAAATAATAACAAATAAAGTCATTTAATTTTGACTTCTTTAACAATTCAAATCTTTGAATCATCGAATAAAATTATTTTGAAGACGAGAGCCACACGATTAACAAAATTTACTATACTATATATATAATACTCTAGTATAATATAGACTATATATATATATAGTATTATTCATTATCATTTGTAATATATAATACTATAGTTCTATGATACTGCACTGATATGGTGTTACATTACTACATGTACATTTTAAATATATAAATAGCTATATATTATATATATAGATACTATAATACTATAGTATAATATAAACTATATATATGTATAGTATTATTCATTATCATATGTAATATATAATACTATAATTCTATGATACTGCACTGATATAGTGTTACACTACTACATGTACATTGTATATATATAAATAAGTATATACTATATATATAGATACTATAATACTATAGTATAATATAAACTATATATATGTATAGTATTATTCATTATTATTTGTAATATATAATACTATAGTTCTATGATACTGCACTGATATAGTGTTACACTACTACATGTACATTTTAAATATATTAATAGCTATATATTATATATATGTATAGTATTATTCATTATCATACGTAATATATAATACTATAGTTCTATGATACTGCACTGATATGGTGTTACACTACTGCATGTACATTTTATACATATACAGCAAAATTTCACATGGTTTACCTGCAGATGCTTTACTTCCATGTTGCGAATTTGCAACAAGCTTCTAGTAAGGGATTCTACTTCCTTCAACGAAGCCACTTGACTATTCAGCGCGCAAATTTGCTTTTCCTGATTAGACACGATTCGCATTCGATCCTCCAACTGCAACGAGGTCTGAATAAGTTTGCCCTTCAGCTGGTCCACCATTCGACGAAGTACAACCTCGTTACCATCACCCTTCAACAAAGCGTCATAAGACGCCTGCAGCTCAGCCAGCTTGCTCTCCACGTTTTCCAATTTCTTCCTATACGAATCTCTTTCGTCGGACGTTTTCTGAAAACGTAAAGGAACTTATTAAAATTATCGATCATTCTTTTCAGAAGTGAGATCTTACTTGGATTTCCTCTTTCAACTTCCTTACAGCGAGATCAGTCACATTCGTATCCTTATCTTTCTCTACAACCGATTTATTACTTTCCGGTTCGAGCTGATCGGTCGTGAAGGAAAGTGCAATTTGGTCTTCCGGTTTCTGTCCATCGGCACTTCCGTCTCGAGGTGCACAGAAGCAAGTATCCCCGGCCCCTATGGACGTTTGTTGTTGCATCTCCAAAACACTCGGCTAGAAAAAGGGATGAAAATTTTGTGAAATTAATAAATTAACAGATTATTTTATCTTCGTTTCCGGTTCCAATTTGTAAATAACTTACCAGTGACTCGTTTCGATTCAATTCGCATTTTACGTTCTCCTCTACCTCCTTCTCTACGGGTTCACTCGGAATTTCGGCAAAAATTTTCGCGTTTGCAATCAGGGCCGTATTTACCTCTTTCGTAGGCACCTCCATGATCTCGTCTTCTGTCCAACGCGAAACCGTGCACTTGATTTCTTGCTTTGCCGAATTTTGATCGTCCACAGAGCTGACTAAACTTTCGATCTCGGATCTGCTGGTGCTTTTTGCATTGTCTTTTCCCTCGGACTTTGGCGTTTCAGATAGGCAAGAGTCTGGTTCGGTGTCTGATTTCAGCGTCTCCTTGCCTGACATTTTTATCTGCAAAAAATGTCACTTTTATGCGTTACACATATAACATAGGGAACAGAAGAGAAACGAGATTGTTCCCGATGCATTTTTACTGTGTCCTTCGCGATTATGCTGGCCGAATAATCGCGATTCTCGAGCACAAAATGATTTCACGTTTCGTTATTTATTCGTTTCTTGGATAACGATGAGAATTTTTAATGCGACATAGGATGTCGATTAAATTTAGTTCTAGTATTTGGTTCGTAGTTGTGGATAGAGGAATAGTTTATAGGATCGATTTTCAAATTACCAAAGATTTCAGATGCGATCGAATACGTGTTAAAATTGATGTTTCCTTGAAATACGAAATTTCCTGTCGCACAAAACGACTGGATATCCTGGACTAACGAAAAGTATGATGTATTTTTGGACATTGTCGGCTAATTCTATTTTAAACTATCGTAAATGTGCGCCAGTCTAACATCCAACAAACTGCAAGTAGTATTGTATTTAAACCGAGTATGTGACAAAGCTTGTTATAGCTGATTCGTTGAAATTATAAGTACACACGTTATCGATAGTAAGAATATTTATGGAACAAAATGCATTTGCTCGAAAATACATTCATGCGATACCTAGTTTCATTTCGAAATATCATGCAATATGGGTCGAAGTTAAAGCATCGTTTATACGAATGAATTCAAAGATAATCATGTAAAGTGTAAAGATAAAATAGTATCATAAGATGTTCGTAAAAAATATTTGGACCGTTTTCGAAAAATTATATATTGTGTTAAATTACCACATGTACCTTTGCTCTTACATAATGGCATAAAATTTGTATTTGTATGAAGATCTATTAACGTAGTTACATTCACCACAGTGTCGTGCTCGAGGCATCTTTTTCCTCGGCAGCGGAAATATTCAAACCGAATTTTATGGTACATAGGTAAATTTTCTTTTCATTTTTATTATGCAAATTATATTTTCTGGGAATGTATTTTACTCTTATGAATTGTTATGTACATGTTAATTGATCGTGCACGAGTACTAATCACATAACCTCTTTTGCATCATGTATTATTTCCTCGATATCTTTTTCTGTAGCCTATTTAAGCGTATATGAACACATTATTTTTACGTAACACGCGTGTTGATATAAAGTCATTATTAAAAGAATGCTAGAGAAACATTACTATCAGTAAAAATTTAACAAAAGCTAGCGTTAAAGGTTACTTTTGGTTACCTTTATTTTTTAATGAATTTTATACTGACGCCATAATTTTATTATATTTGTTGAACAGACATTTACATACAATCCATATGAATTATTAGGTAGTTATTGTTTTCTTTTTTTCTTGAAAATAACACTTGATATACATATGTATATAAGATATATATAACTATACAGAAAATATAATAAAATTATTTGTTTTATCTTGTGATAGATAATGTAAAAGATATAGGGATATTAAACAATTATTTTTGCAGAGTATTAATTAAGGAATGGAAGAATACGCAAGAGAACCATGCCCATGGCGTATAATAGATGACTGTGGTGGTGCATTTACAATGGGTGCTATTGGTGGGGCAGTATTTCAAAGTATTAAAGGTTTTCGTAATGCACCTAGTGGAATAAACAAAAGGATCGTAGGAAGTCTTGCTGCTATTAAACAGAAGTCTCCTATCATTGCTGGAAACTTTGCATTATGGGGTGGTATGTTTTCCACGATAGATTGTACATTGGTTCATCTTAGAAAAAAAGAAGATCCATGGAATTCTATTATCAGTGGAGCAGCCACTGGTGGAATATTAGCAGCAAGAAATGGTTTACCAGCCATGGCTGGTAGTGCAATTATTGGAGGAGTGTTACTGGCTTTAATAGAAGGTGTAGGAATACTTATTACTCGTATATCTGCAGAACAATTTAAACCTCCATCATTTACTGAGGAACCAAGCTCTTTGAGACAGTCAACGCAGGGTCATCCATCATAAAATATATAAATATTTAGATGTATTTCAATATCACTCGACTAATTAAGTACAAATGTTTCATATTGTTTGAAACGGTAGTAGTTGGAAACTATCATATTGCCAGTACATCAAATTTGTATAGACAATTCAATTCTTTGATTTAAGAAATAATAATAGTTTGGTTTTTATTTAATGCTGTTTTGTACCTTTATTAAACTGTTAATAAGATAAAACACTTAACATAAATATATTAGCAATTTATTAATAGAAAATGTATTTATAAAAGGAACTGACACAACACTTAGTTGCATTACTTGTAAACAAAAAGAAAAATAACTAAATTATTATCATTAGTATGTATAAAATATATAGATCACAATTTTCTTAGGTTACGAAACTTTTATTCATTTTAAAGATCATCTTCATCTTCAGTTTCTTCATTAAAATATTTAGAAGTTGATGCTACGGACAAGTCTAATGATTTACTTGTAGAGCCTTGTTGATTATCATTTATTGACTCACATGGTGAGGATTCATCTTGTGTATCTTTTAATGATTTGTTTATTAATCCCAATAAATGAAGTTGTTCCACCTAATTGTCATGTAAAACATCTTTTTATGTGGGAACAAATGAAAACTGAATTCTTATTTTTGTATATTTACCTGTAGCCCGTGTACTTGATCGTCAATCTTCGCTGATATTTTTTGAAGAAGTTCTTTTTCCTGTATTAAATCTCTCTGATAAGCGAGTAACTCATTAGCCCTTATTTTTGCACTGGAATTTTCGACATCTTCAGTTACTATTGCTTCTTCCATTCTTTGTTAATGTTATTTAATAATTCACTACTTTAACGTGACATGTATATACTAAAAGAATGTCTTATCGTGTAATCAATTTTATTTTTCGTACACGCACATTTGAAGTAATGAAACATAAAAATTGCGATAGGAATTTTGTTAAAATAACAAATTTACGCACTTATAAAAATTCATTTCATATCATTTTTAACTCAGTATTTGAGAGGTTATGGTTGTTTCGTGAATCACAATGTTACCAACCTAACTAATAGTTTCAATGTGTAGCTATATTTCTATCTCAGTCTGTATCTATATAAAGTTTGCTACCCTGCATTAAACAATTTATCAGACATTGAAAAATATAATTGTGTGTCAGAAAATTTTGTATATTAAAAGATCTTGAATTTGGGTTGATAATATTGAATAAGTTATAAAATTATAAGTTACAATTAGGTAAATCATTTTATTTCGGAGTTTCAGTGGATTTTATACGTTTTCTTTCGTAGTGTATTAATATTTTATTCTTTCTACAGAATTCTAAGTAACTACAGAATAATCACAATTTATTATATCCAAATTCATTTAGGTACAGAATTTTTTAGTAGATCACAATTTAATCTATATAACTATATGATTAGATTAATTCATTAACTTTTAAGTGGTCAAATTAAGTTAAATAGAATCAATGCAAATCTTGTAGCCATTTTAAAATAAGTTCATCATACAGTGTTACTTTTTATTTATACATTTTAATCATTAGCTATAGTATTCTTGCAATGATTTTCCTCTTTTTGTATTTTGTTTATACTTTGGTAATACTTTACTGTATAATGATGTGCATTGTCATCAACACAAGATTTGCATTAGATTTTATGTACATATACATACAGAAAATATTCAAATTGGGAGTACAACTACTGTCAGTATGCTATCATTATAGAATGATCACAATTTACTAGTACGATGTTACATTTACGACGATCATTCCTATTGTTTTTTTTAATACCTAATAGCGTCTTTCTTTTAAAATGTAAAATTTATACAACGATTTCATAATAATTCGTAGATTTTGGATAGCTAATAAAATTTATCGGTATTTGAGTTTAGCAATGATGCGACATTAGACAGTAAGCAAATCACATAACGGGGAGTAAAAAGTAACTAAAATAATAATTGTACGATAAGGATGATAACATTAAACAATAATTGTTCTCACCAAAAAGAAGATCGATGTTTAGATGTAATTAATAAGCATCTAAGATAATATTTTCACAATTTTTTTTACATAATATGATGTGATCAATCATTGGTATTTATAATTATGTATAAATATTGTTATACCATTTACACAAACTGAGGTATATGGTAACCTTTCGGGGGTTCTGTTCGTACTGCATTTACAGCGTATATAAATCAAACAAAAATAAATAGTTCGCATAATCGGTACATACATCATTCAATTTCTATTCTATCGATTAATTTTGATAATTTTCAAGATCGTCAAAAGATTGTGTTATATATTATTACGATGATTTTCTTCTATTAAAACTGGAAACACTGGTTATCCTTGCTGCTGCAGCAAGAAAATTTATCTAAATTCAAGTCACGCGGTTTAAAATAACATTTTGTCTTTTCTTTGCTTTCACCAATCATCGTTAAGTCGTAGACCATAAATGCGTTCGCTGCTGCAGCAAGGGACGCGTCAATCTTTTGAAGACGAGGGTGGGGATTCCCGACTATTGTCGCTCGTAAAACTAGATAAGCCAAGACCGCTAGTTTCATGACTCGAAGAACTAGTTGGCGAATTACTCGAACTCCTGGCGCCACTGAGCGGCGCTACAGTCGTATTCTCTACCGGTATTAGACCTTCTTTCATTCTCTTCTTCTGCTTCATTCTTCTGTTCTGGAACCAAATCTTCACTTGCGTTTCATTCAATTGCAACGCTGACGCGATTTCAATGCGTCTTGCTCTGGTCAGGTACTTGTTGAAGTGAAATTCTTTCTCGAGTTCCGTGAGTTGCTTGTTCGTGAAGTTAGTCCGGCCGGTATTGTTGAAGCTACCTGCAATACCGGCCATGGGTCCGCCGGTAAGGCAGCTTACAGGACCGTTCGCCGCTGTCACGTAGGGGGATGCATTTCCACCCCCAACTGTGTTTCCGCCATATTCACCCACGCTTGGGTTTGTCTTTGCTGCTGTAACAAATTTGAGTTTATATTTAGCAAATCTTCGTCTAAAATGTACATATACTTCCATATTTTAAATTGTTCATTTTATTTTCAATTTTTACGTACATCTTATATTCAATATTTATAAAATAACTTATTTTTAAAGCAAATTAATTCTCTTTCCTTTGCAATCTGATTACACTACGAAGAAATGATTTAAACAAATTTATCCAGTAAATAAACAAATGTAAAATAAATCATTTCGTTGGTACTAATTCAATTTACAAAATTTTAATATTCAAGTTTCATTATCGATACTTATGTAAGCCATTCGCAAGCCAAAACGATTAATTCCAAATTTGAAATTGTAATTAGCTTCTTATTTAAATAAATTTCTACTTCTCATCTTCTGGAATTAATTCACTTGGCAAACGAGTGTCTCACGTAGTCTCACATAGTCTCACATAGACCTGGAGAACATCCGTATTTGATCTAACTTCCTTTCTATCTTAATTACAGATGTCAACGCGTACGTGTCAAATGGGTCCACGAAAGAGATCGCAGGTAACATACACCGAATTAAACTCAGCTCTGGTCCACCGACGGACAGCCAGTTGTTGTCCAACACAGCTGGTCAGTGTTCCAAGAAGCGGACCTGTCCACCCTCTGCCAAAGACCGATAGGGTTAAGCCCTAAATCTGGATCAAATTGCATCAGCTGTTGCCGAGTGTCAGGGGTAAGTCGTTACGTCATTTTATTTAGCCCGTATTTATCAACCGACCACGATGGTCACTCTGGAAACATTCTCCAGCTAGATCGTGTTAGCCGTTCCCCTCTGTCCGGTTGCTAGGATCGTTCGAACATTTTCGTTTCAGTTATAAAGTTCTTTTCGACATCGGTTGTGTCGAGTTGTTCGACAAAATGTAAATCGCCGTAGACAGCAACTGAGTTTCGTAATTACGATCCCGAGATATATTTACGTTGACCAGTGCCTGTAGTTGTCAGCTGTCGTGTCAGACTGACAGGCGAACGGAACAAGCGTGCCACTATCACGGGACCACGTTTTTGCGTAATTTCCTCCGAAATAGAAAATCGCGGGAATACCCTTAACTAACGTAATCATCGATCGAATCGCGATTAGTTTAATATCGTTAATAGCTTTGACACTCGATACGACGCTTTAGGCGGGAATACCCTTAACTAACGTAATTTCGATCATCGATCGAATCGCGATTAGTTTAATATCGTTAATAGCTTTGACACTCGATACGACGCTTTAAACATCGTTTACACGCGTGTTCATTAGAAATTGAGGCCCTTGTTGGAAAAAAGGGGAAAAGGGGCATATAAATATCTTAAAACTCGTGAAAAGGATATATCTTCATGATTGACAACTGGACTGATAAAATAGGTTCGAAAAATATGTTACTGGTCCTTACTAGTTAGAAAAAGAAATTGGTTTTAATTGCATTATTTTCTATTAATTCTTATACTAGAATAACGAGTCTAACTTGTGATGAATTTTTCATATTAGGTCTTATAAAGATGAATTATATAAAATTTGTACGAGTCCCAACAATTTTTATAATCTTATCGCGAATGAAATAGGTATATAATGGATAATTACAATTAAATAATTTTACAATAGGTAGCCTAATAAAATTTAGTTAATACCGAGCACTTTTCAAAAATCGTTTACACGTGTCTTCGTTAGAACAAAATTGGAGCCATATAAATATTTTAAAACCCATAAAAGAGGCATGTCATCTCTAAATCGTTTGAAAAATTACTTTCCATTCTCAAAAAGAAAGAAAGAAAAAAGGAAATTGATTTCAGATGTATTAATTTTTATCAAATTACCCATAAAGGAGGCATGTCATCTGTAAATCGTTTGAAAAATCACTTCCATTCTCAAAAAGAAAGAAAAAAGGGAAATTGATTTCAGTTGTATTAATTTTGATTAAATAACAGGTGTTCTAATGAAAAATTGGAAATGGTAACGCTTCGTTTTGGTGTTAGGTTAGGTTCCTAATTTAGTTTATTTAGTATTTAGTATTTAGTATTTAGTATAGTATTTAGTATTTAGTTTAGTGTTTACTATTTAGTTTAGTGTTTACTATTTAGTTTAGTATTTAGCATTTAGTATTTAATTTAGTATTTAGTATTTAGTTTAGTATTTAGTATTTTATTTAGTATTTAGTATTTAGTTTAGTATTTAGTATTTAATTTAGTATTTAGTATTTAGTTTAGTATTTAGTATTTAGTATTTAGTTTAGTATTTAGTATTTAATTTAGTATTTAATTTAGTATTTAGTATTTAGTTTAGTTTTCCTTCCACCAAATACCTCTATTTTATAGTACATAGCAATGCACGTAAGCGAAGTCTAGAGAGCAGTGCGTTCCACTAAAGAAAAAGGTGGCGTCGCTTACGCATTACGGAAATTAGGTTGTTATTTAGTCTGCCGGTATGTGGCAGTCAATTTGCTTAATGGCACAGGGTGGACGAAACTGTCAAGCCACCGCCTTAGAGCCACATCTTCTTTTTCACCCTGTTTGCCTGTATCGCTTCGTTCCCATTATCATCCCTTTATATATCTTCCTCGACATCGTGACTATTTAATCTCAGCATCGAGATCTAACTATAGAGCTTGGAAGATCTAGAATTAAAATCACGTCCATCCCGAGCAGCGAACGAAAGCGATCTTACACGGTGGATTTTTCGAATAATCCGGAAACATCAGTCACTTAAACGGCGTGTCCGGAACTTGGCCGGCGGCCATTAAGCTCACGCATCTTCAGCCCGAATAATCGAGTTGGACAAGTTCTATTAGTCCACGGGCCGGTGTGGTACAATGAAATGTTTTCCGTTTTCGCGACTCATTCATCAATTTAGCACCTTAACGGGAGGACAGAGCGTGCGCTGCCGCTGATTTTCCGTACGCCAGACCAACCGACGTCTCTATACATCAGCGATCATTAGCGTCGCGTCGGAGTTTCCTTTGGACCTTGCAAGTTACGATTTTTAGACAACTCGGAATTTCAGCGAGAAATCTGATTACGAATTTCTAGGCTCCTGCGTTTTCTCTGGCTATCGATGTGACGGAGGAATATGAAGTGATGGGATTTAAAGGATCGAAGGCGTGTTTCAGACGAGGGTGAAATTGTAAAATTAACGATAATTATATTCTGTAGGGCGTGACACACGAAGTCTTACAATTATAGTGTATTCCACAGAATTACTGCAGTTATAAATATTCCTTTTTTCGATTGAAGAGGGTTAATTATGCGGTGTACATTAAATTCTTGCAAGGGTAGGTGCTCGTTCAAATACAAAAAATTCGTGTGTCTATTTTTACTAGTAAAATGGTATATTAATTTTTCGTTTAATCACTTACAATATTTTTATTCCTTTTTTCGATTGAACGATTGAAGAGCGTTAATTATTTGGTGTTAATTATTAAATTTTTAGGGTAGGTACTCTTTCAAATCCAAAAAATTCGTGTTTCTATTTTTATTAGTAAAATGGTATATTAATTTTTCCTTTCTTAAGTACAATAGCTCTCATTAAACTAGGTAACATGCACTTAAAATATTTTTATTCCTTTTTTCGATTGAACGATTGAAGAGGGTTAATTATTTGGTATACATTAAATTCTTGTAAGATTAGGTACTTCTTGATATCCAAAAAATTCGTGTCTCTAGTTTTACTAATAAAATGGTATATTAATTTTTCGTCTCTTACATAGCTCGTGGTAAACTAAGTAACATTCACTTAAAATATTTTTATTCCTTTTTTCGATTGAACGATTGAAGGGGGTTAATTATTTGGTATAATTAAATTCTTGGAAGGGTCGGTGCTCTTTGAAATAGAAAACAATTCGTGTTTCTATTTTTACTAGTAAAATGATATATTAATTTTTCGTCTCTTACATAGCTCTTTGTGAACTAAGTAATATTCACTTAAAATATTTTTATTCCTTTTTTCGACTGAACAATTAAAGAGAGTTAATTATTTAATATACATTAAATTCTTGCAAGGGTAGGTGCTCTTTCAAATCCAAAAAATTCGTGTCTTTCTTTTTACTAGTAAAATGGTATAACTAATTTTTCGTCTCTTACATAGCTCACGCTAAACTAAGTAATGTTCACGTAAAATATTTTTTCAAGGTGTAGGAACACGAATATATTTAAATAATATAAGAAAGAAATTATTTCTTCACTTTTCATACTGAATTATCATTAACCCCGTGTTCTCCGATTTAATTATAAGAAATTATGAATCGAGGAAGCATTTAATTTTAATTAACCTATCCATGTCGTCCAGGATAAAATTACGAAAACTCAGACTGTGTACAAATCTCATGCATATTAATATATAACGAGTTTAGCTGTAGAGTACAGTGGGATTAACAATATTATCAACATCATTCGATACAAATTTATTCTATTCAATAATTATCCATGTCAAGAGTAGTTCCCTGTCTTTCACATCAGATTGTGATCTTTCACATCAAAAATAATCGAATTACCCTCGTAGCTATGCAATAACTAGATAACACCATTTCTAATATTCTGCCTATATTATACACACCAAAATTGTTGCTAAAAATTACTATATCAAGTATACTACTATACTATATCATACTATACTATACTATATTGCTCCACGTGGAATGAAATCCAGACGAAATAAACCAGAAGCCCGTGCACGCAGGTTCGTGGGCAGAGAAAATGGCAGATCTCGCGGTAAGGGGAGCATTAATTTGCAAACTAGGAGCAAGAAGTGCGGTAATCCGTGTTACTGTCCAGTCAGAGAATAATCTATAAAACTGTTTGCAAGCGATACATGGTGTACCGTTCGGTTCCGCGATGGCGGCTACGTCTGACTTGATTTCGCGAAAAGACAAATCCCGCAGGCCGATGGAAACGCTCGCTCGAGCGGAATGAGCGAATCACTTTCGATTAAGCGTTACCACGATATCCCGGTAATTACAACTTCCTCCGCGACGGACGTTAATAGCGCCGAT